TGGAGATCATGCCTTTTGGGGTCAAAAACTGCTGAGCACGCAGTATGGTGTAGGCAGGTGCATTTTCTTTTGTCTTTGTTTTTTTTTTGAGTTGGAGTCTCACTCTGACACCCAGACTGGAGTGCTGTGGCCGCTCCCGGCCACCGCAGCCTCGACCTGCTGGGCTCCGGCGATCCTTCCGCCTCAGCCTTCCAAGTAGCTGGAATTACAGGCATGCGCTACCACGCCCGGCTGATTTTTTGATTTATTGTAGAGATGAGGTCTCGCTGCCCAGGCGGGTCTCGAACCCGCAGGCTCAGGCAATCCACTCACCTCAGCCTCCCAAAGGCGCGGTGCAGGTGCATTTTCAAGGTGGAAGAAATAGTCATCTATTTGCCACAACTCAGGACGTTTCTTCTGTAAATCATGATGCAAAGTTCTTAAAACTTACAGATAAAAATTTTCATGGACCATTTGATCCAGAGGAACAAATTCTCAGTGTCCTACAAGTGGCCTTCCCACCAAAAAGATAATTCTGTTGTTTTTGGTCCTCCCTTGTGAGAATTCCTTAACAAGGGCCTGATCCACTGAAATTCATACAAGCTTAACGCGCCAAAAACTTCCTGGCTTTTGACATGTAAATTCAGGCTACATATGGCCAGTTCTGGAGTGTGTTGACTTGCGTTTAGCTGCAACATCACTCAAGTCAAATGAATAACCCTTGAATGGTATCTTCTAAGTTAGAAAATGAGTGCCACATTCCACATGCAAGCAGTTAGCTGTTACTCTTGTAATATAAGTTTTGTTTTTAGTGAAAAGGTCAGAGAAGCAGATTATAGTTACATATAAGTTTTCAAAACTGTAACCCAAAATCTCGGGAGCAAATGGTTAAATTAGGTTGGATTCTATGGGATGAATTCGAAAATGAAAAGTAGTGATGTGAGTTCTCAAAAAGAGGATGTTGACAAAGCTTGGTGGCTCAGCCTGTAATCACAGCACTTTGGGAGGCTGAGGTGAGTGGATTGACAGGTTCCTGTGGGTTCTAGACCAGCCCAGGCAACTTGGCAAGACCATGTGTCTACAATAAATAAAAACTTAACCAGGCGTGGTAGCATATGCCTGTAGTTTCAGCTACTTGGAAGGGTGAAGTAGAAGTGTAGCCGGAAAAATAGAGAGACCGTGACACCGAGACTATTATAGGAAGTGACACTTTATTATGCTGGCTAGCACAGCGGGCTCAATGGAACTAATGCGTCCAGACCGAGCGCCCCAGAACAGGTGACCTGGGGTCTTATACCCTTGTTTAGGTGAGGGAGGGGGTCTTGTTGAGTGATTACATATTTCCTTTGGAATCTTACAAGGTTGTACTCAGCAAAATCAGATTTTTCAAAGAACAAATGGTTTCCAGGAACTGCAGGCTTGTAAACACCAACTTCAGAAGAGGGGTTTTAGATAAGACTCTTTTCCATTTCCGTGAAATAGCCAGTCTCTGGGCCATTTGGCCTTTCTTAAACAAAACCTGCCTGGGGCTGGGTGGGCCTTTAAAGTTGCAACTTGCCTTTCAAAAGGAAATACCTTTTAACTGCTATCAACCCCTCCTTCTTGCCGCTGGACTAGTGGCAGCCCTGGTGAGGCCAACTGCTGATCCTGAATCAGCCACATGTGTTTCTGTGTTTATTCACTCAATCACACAAGAAATATATTTGAGCATATGCTGCCTCCTGCCACAGAAGGATCACCAGAGCCTAGCAGGTTGACACTGGGGTGGCCATGAGAGTGCCACTGCACTCCGGCCTGGGCGACAGAGTGAGACTCCAACTGAAAAAAAAGGGTGTTTACTCTAGAAACAAGCAGACACTAGAAGATGTATAATTTACTTGGTAGAAATTTACAGCTGCTAAAGTCACCTGCCATGCTCTATTTATTTAGTAGATACCTTGCCTTTTCAAAGCTTCTCTTAAGTTGCTATAAATTAAGATATACTGGGCTGGATGGTGTCAGCATTGTGAGAAGTCAAAACGATTTAGTTCTGTTTAAAGAAGACACTACAGATTAGCTTATTTTAATAACTCATCTCCAATTATAGAAAGAAAACCTTTACCAATATAATTTATCTCTCTTTCAGTTGACATTAGAGAAAAAAATAAAGCTTGTCTTTGAGGTTTGACATATCCTGTTTCAACCCCATCTGCAGCTGGGTGAGCTTGGTCAAATTATTTGACCAGTCTTGGTTTTATCCTTGGGTTTTTATTTTTATCTGTAAAATGTGAATGATGATGGTAAGTACCACACAGTATTGTACTTTGAATAAAAGGACTTCATTGTCAAGGGAATTACTGAATTATTTTCCAGTAATATACTTTATTAAATGCTTCTGTAAAATTCTATGATCATGATGTTCAAATTCTGACCGAAACCTCATTTTTGAGACTAAGAAATCAATGCATCTGTGACCTAGTGTAATCCATAAATGCCCAAAGTTAATAAATGTCTTGAAAAGCTTTCAGGATACAACATATAAATTCCAGGTTTGTCTTTTTTTATTGAGCAACCCTTTATCTGGTGTTTACGAAACCCTAGACAACATTCCAGACTTGCTGGCTCCTGACCAAGGTCTCAGGCCCAAACTTGTAAGATGTCCTTGATAACAAGAACCTCCACAAGTAGGTAAAGAATGACGGTGAGCAGACCCAATTTCTTAAATGTATGCCGTCCATCTCTTGGTCAGTCTCCCAGCGGCTCCAGGACATCGCATCTCTTCTTCTCAGAGCCCATCACGCACACCCAAATGCTGGCTGAACGACCACGCAGATAAGAAGTCGTCTCACAGGCCTTCCTGGCCATCGTGGGGAGCAAAGAGGCGGTGGTGAACTGGCTCAAAACGGTACGTAGACCTTCCCTTTCGCAGCCTTTCACAAGTAGCAGGGGGATTCGAAGATTAGTCTTTAGAGCCAGCCTGCGTGGGTTCAAATTCTGGCTCCACCTCTTAGAGTTATGTGACTTGAGCAAGTTGCTTAACCTCTGTGTGCCTCAGTGTCCATGTCTGTTACATAGGGATGATAATAATAGTGCTTGCTTTATTCAGTGATTGAGAGAAGAAAGGAATTCATACATGTAAGTCATGTAGAACTCCGCCTGGCATAGAGAATGCTCTAGAGAAAGGTTAGCTATTATTATATTCTTGTACTTGTCTGGAATGAGTCCCTGAATTTTTCCAAAATGTGATCCCTGTTAAAAGTGGGTTGTGTGTACTCATAATAAGGATATAACAACTGTGCATAGCTGAAATCAGATATTGCAAATGCTGTTAACATTTATTTTTCCACGGAACCCAAGAGTTGAGAGCTATGATTTTTCCTCTGCTCCCTTGAGGTTAATTTCTCAGTCACAGCCTCCCTCGATGTCTATGAACTCTTTAGAAAAATCTTCTGTTGCTACTTATTTATTTATTTATTTTTCATCTAAGCTGAGAGCCCTACCGGCTTGAACCTGAGGAGCTGGAACTTCTGTTTGTCTGAGGCTGATTCCTATTCCGGAAATTCCACAGAGCCCTGCTAAGTAAGCCTCATGTAGTGCTACTTACTTGTCATTGCTCCTTCCCTGGACTTGATTTTGAAACTCTCAGCCCCAGAGCTGCTCAAAAGGACAGAACATTCCTAAGTGGTGTCTGCCAAAGGAGGTGTCCAAGAATATCTGGAAGGGTAGGCTTCAGGCTCCACGGTGCCAGGACCATTTACTAAAAGTGTCATCACATCAGGGTTATCGACAGCAAGCATTACTCATTATTCAGCTTGAGAAACCAATACTAAAACGGGGAAAATGATTTGATCATTTTCTCTGAAAAGGTTATTCGATGTTGTTCTTATGGTTAAATATTTATTTACCAAAGTCAGGAATTCCTAGTGCATGATGCATCAGCATTTCTTTCAGTCATGGATTTAAGTCATGGAGCCTGAACTTCAGGGTGGGTGGAGTGATGAATTATAGGTCTGTTTCCCTTCCCCCTTTTTGTTTTATTTTAAAAGAGGGTAAGTACAGTAGTCAACAAGGAGGGAGAAACTGTGCTTAGCTCTGTGACTGAATCCAAATTCTTCTTCTGTCACTCCATTTGGGTAAGCATCAATTACTTATCTAAATTTTGTAATAAGGAAGATATCCCAATTCATATCTAGAGTAAGTGTACTTTCTGAAACTATATTAAGCATTATTGTGTTTATACTTATGTTCATGTATTTCTGCATTGGTCTAATCTCTTTCCTGATTTTTTAAGTAAAGAAGAAATATAGTAAATTGTTCTTTGGTTGAAAGAAAAAAAAGGATTTAGTTTCTTTCTAAGAACTTCAATGTAGAAAGTTGACTCCTAGGGACAAGCTGAGGCAGGAACAAATGTTTGAGACTTTGGAGGTCGTATCTAGGACAACTACTTGGCTCACGCTTTAGGTCTCTTTCCCTTCCTCCTTAGTTGCTTGGGATGACCATCTCTGTGTGTCTGATTGTCCGTGACAGATGTGTGCTTGCTGTCGCCAGCTGTGAGAATGCCTGTGGGTTTAGATCATATTGTATTTTCGTTAGTCTACTACATTGTATGGTGCTTTTTTTAATTTCAAAAATAGAAATACGTTTTCATCTTCTCATAGCTTAGCTTCTTTCAGGACATTCTTGTGAGTCTGGGAAAAACATAACTATGAAATAGCATGATCATTATGAGGGCTGTATGACCCAAAGGCTCAGTAGGGATAAATGCAACGTTCATGTCTGAAAGCTACTGTGTTATGTATTTGTACTTAATAAATACATGCTGACAGACTATCCTGGGTGTTGCTGAGCTAGTGAAAATCATTACCCGTAACTATTTTGCTTGTGGTTTTGTATGACTCATTTTCTAGTGGAGAGACTGACTACTCTTCCCAACTCTAAGCCTTGGTAATCGGCATCAACAGGCTTCACCATCACGTCCATGGTTCATCTGGGGTGATCTCAATACCAGCTACCGACACTTGCCCTGAGTTTATAAATAGACCATGGGGTTGTGGACCCTGGCATTTCTAACAGTTCTCATGCATTATTCCACAGCAGCGAGATACAGTAAGTATTGTTTTTCAACTAAAATTTAAATTACTTAGAATTAATCAATTCTAAGGAGATTTGCCTTGTTTTAAATGGCTTGCTTCCGGTTGTTCCAGTTGAATCGTGAACTGGAAAATTCATTTTTTGCTCTATGATTATTCTTCCTCCCAAATCAATCAGAAGAAATTCTTCAAAACAAATATATCATAATTTGATTTTACATAATCACATATGTCAGAATGTAACAAGGTACCTGCACATAAGTGGTGTTGAAGGGTTTGTTGACTGACTCACAGCTTGTTTAGATAGACAGGGCTGATTTTACCATTAGGGCACTGAAGAAGATTTAGTTCCAAATTAATTCATTAATGTTTCATAAAAATTCTCAATCATTTACTTATTCTGTCTCAAAATATCACAATATATTCTCCACTTCTAAATTTAATACTAGAAGAAACATCAAGAATATAGGAATTTCCATATTTTCAGTTGATCATTTCAGGGTCATACTTATCTTTTTTTATTTGCAGGTAGAGTATTCTGGGGCCTGGAAAATGAAGCTTTAATTGCAAATTGTCCCAGACAAGAACGATCTCGTTACCCTGTGGATTGGTATTACTCAAAAACAAACAAAAGTATTCCCACTCAGGAAGGAAATCGTGTGTTGGCCTCAGGTGAACGTCTTAAGTTTCTGCCAGCCAAAGTTGATGATTCTGCTATTTATACCTGCATTATCAGAAGGTATTATCCAGAAAACCACCATAATCTTGGAATCTGCCCTCCTTTCTTGAATGGTTGATTATTTGATCTGCCCTCACATTCACTCCTTCTCTAGTTCTTCCTGGATCCATTGAATTTATAAAGCGATTTGAATAAGAGAGTACTTCTAGGAATACTGGCAGGCTGGGGTTTAGGTGATTATGAGCTAACTACTGTATTTGGATTTCTAAGTGCAGGGATTAATTTGTAGCTAAATTAGAGAAAACCCCAGCTTTCTTAGTGACCAAGAGCAATAGCTCATTTTTTGACTGAAATTAAGAACAAATCAGCGCAAGAAGCAGTAGCCTAAATGTCTGGCATCACGGGGGCCTCTGGAGGGTGGCAAAGGGCTGACACCAGTGCCTTAAACCTTGGACTTAAGCTATGGAAGGTCACATGAGATTGCATGACTACAAATTACCTACTGTGTTTATGAATTGTTAAATGTTTTGATTTTGTGCCCCTTTTGGCTCTTACAAAATGTCAGATGAACTACATCAAAAGGCAGGATGTGTTCGTGGATGTCTAGGTTCTGAGATGAAACAAGCGTCAAATTCATACCCCACGCTGGTTAGCTGTACGATGCTGTCCAGTTACTTCTGCCTCCCAGTCTTCCTATCTGTAAAACATTTATGCTATAATAATATCAATCAGCCGGGCTCGGTGGCTCAGCCTGTAATCCTGCGCCTTTGGGAGACTGGGGTGAGTGGATTGAATGAGCCCACGGGTTCGAGACCCGCCGGGCAGGCGAGACCTCATCTCTACAATGAATAAAAAAAAATTAGCCGGGCGTGGTAGTGTGTGCCTGTAGTTCTGGGTACCTGGAAGGCTGAGGCGGAAGGATCGCCAGAGCCCAGCAGGTCGAGGTTGCCGTGGTCGGGAGCGGCCACTGCACTCCAGTCTGGGCGACAGTGAGACTCCAACTCAAAATAATAATAATAATAATAATAATAATAATAATAATAATATCAATCAAGTCAAAGCATTATTGTGAAAGTAAAATGAGGTAGTGCCTGAAAAAACTCACCACCATGACTGGCACACAGTACACTCCCCACAAACACTCATTATCTGTGTTACTTTGGGATCATGGTGTTACAGCAAATACAGTTTCCGAAGAAAGGATGAGGGGAATCATTCTTAGGGCTACTATAGGGATTATGTTCTATCTCAAGGATAACAAAAAAGTATTCGAAACACTAAATTTTAATGATTATTTTTCAGTTTGAAAATATCCACTGTGTAGACACATACTTATAAATATAAACATATATATCAGTTGCTTTAAGAAGGAAAACAATATTAAGTAATGACTAGAACTCTGCTAAGTGACTCTTAATTTTCTGACTTATTTTAATAGTCCCACCTCCAATAAGACTGGATATGTGAATGTAACCATATATAAAAAACCATCAGATTGCAACATTCCAGATTATTTGATGTATTCAACAGTATTTGGAACAGAAAAAAATTCCAGAATAAATTGTCCTACAGTTAACAACTACAATTGGACAGCACCTCTTGAGTGGTTTAAGGTAAAAGGAAATTTTGGGGAAATTAGATGAAAATTATGCAATTAAAATAGATGCAAATGAAGAATTACAGAAAAGGGATTGGGAACTTTTATTTCAGAATTGTCAAGCTCTTCAAGGATCAAGGTACAGGGCACACAAGTCATATTTGGTCATAGACAACGTAAAGAGTGACGATGCCGGTGATTACACGTGTAAATTTACACACAACGAAAATGGAGTCAATTACAGGGTGACAGCAACCAGGTCACTCAAAGTTATAGGTAAGTTACTGACTTTAACAGAAAAGAAAATGTGGAAATAAAGTGGAAAATCTGTGCTCTTGGTTGTTTCTTGCACTTCGTCTTTCTCCCTGATACTTTCACCTGTTCCGTCTGATTCTACACATTCTCTGCTGTGAGCAAGGAGAGTTTTCTGAAGGCACTATCAGAATTTAAGAAGAAAAACTTGAAAGGTAAATGACACGACTGACCCAAAGCCACTTCTATTCCTCTTTTGTGACTTAGTCTTCCAAAGATGAAGTGAATAGAATGGTATCATAGTAGACTTTTTTGAATAGCAACACCACTATTTAGAGATCATGAACGACTTTCTCTTTCCCTATTTGGTGTCAGAGATTCTGTAAACTGCAAAAAAAAAAAGGTAATCTTTAAAATAACTTACTGGGCCGGGCTCGGTGGCTCAGCCTGTCATCCCGCGCCTTTGGGAGGCTGAGGTGAGTGGATTGCCTGAGCCTGCGGGTTCGAGACCCGCCTGGGTAGCGAGACCTCATCTCTACAATAAATCAAAAAATCAGCCGGGCGTGGTAGCGCCTGCCTGTAATTCCGGCTACTCGGAAGGCTGTGGCGGAAGGATCACTGGAGCCCAGCAGGCGAGGCTGCGGTGGCAGGAATCGGCCACTGCACTCCAGTCTGGGCAACAGAGTGAGACTCCAACTCAAAATAAATAAATAAATAAATAAATAAATAACTTACTGGATTAGAAGTTTAATGAGATGCTTTATAATAGGGTACAATGATGTACATACATATTGTTGAGTGGTTTTCAGTTCTGGTTTAAAATGCTTTTGACATCTTCAATAAACTCAAGTCACATCATATAATTTTTTTTTAATTTTATTTTAAATTTTATAAAAGCCTGTTTAGAGAAAAGACTTCACATTCATAGTTTATGAAATCTACAGTGAGTTATGGCATCTCCTTAGCCCATTATGATCCACAGATGTAGATTAAGTCTGACCTTTATTGACCTTTATGTATGGTAGTTTTGTTTTTTTTTTTTTTAGGGCAAAGCAAATGCTTAGTAAAATAAGCATCACCAGATCGCATTCCTATTAGTGCCTTTGACTGTTTACCGTCAACCACTGAAATGGTCCTCAGTCACACTGCTCTGAAATAAATGAGCTTCAAGGAGCAGAGGGTTGCGGCAGGCTCCAGATGCTCTCCCCAACCCTTCCCTTCCTCCCTGTCTTTTGGCCTCAGTGGCCACAGGAATTAGAATTCCCAAGACCAAAAGAATTCTCTTGCCAAGGATGAGTCACATTAGTGGAAAATTGTGAGCAGAACTGTGGACTCATGCATTTATCGTTTCCCAGGATCTTTTGAAACCTCCTTTTCTATAGTTTTACTCTGAATAAAGTGATTTTTCTAACAAATAGTAGGTCATGCGATTAAATAAGTAATCAATTGATTTTTTTTTTTTTTGAGTTGGAGTCTCACTTCATCTCCCAGGCCGGAGTGCAGTGGCATGCTCACCGCCACTGCTGGGCTCCGGTGATCCTTCTGCCTCAGCCTTCCAAGTAGCTGGAACTACAGGAGTGTGCTACCATGCCCGGCTAGTTTTTGATTTATTGTAGAGACAAGGTCTCACCCAGTTGCCTGGACTGGTCTCAAACCCATGGGCTCAGGCATGTCCTGGCCTCCCAAAGTGATCGGATTATAGGCTGAACTACCAAGCCCAGCCCATGGAATTAATTTAATTGGTTGGGCCAGCATTGGTTTTGACACCATAGAAGAGACTAGAAGAGATCAAAGTGCACCATAGGTAGTAAGAGAAAATTTCAATTAAATGTTTTTGTTTCATATGAGTGTGTGTATTTGTTGCCATAGCTAATTGTCAGAAGAATTTGAAAAACATTGCTATGAATTAGGTTAGAAACAGGAAAATACAAACTTGTTGTTGATGAGGAGCCAAGGCTTTCCTAATTTTTATATTCTCTTTTTTTTTGTCTTTAAGATGAACCAGGCTTTTCTTTGTTTCCAGTAATCAATGCCCCTCCACACAATGGAACAAAGGAAGTGGAAATTGGTATGAAAACTTTAACAGTGTGCAAAAAAACAAGGGTTACCTGGAAAATCCTTCCATGTGGCACCTGATCCGAGTTCCTCTAGCAAAGGTCAGGCAGTTAGCATGGGGGACCTTGAGGACAAGGTGAGGAGACACCTGTGAAGCCGGTGCTCTGGGCATGTGCTAACATTGGAATCACTTGGGCAGCAACATACCTCGGTGATGTTTGTCTCGTGCTGTGTACCTCCTGGTACTTTCATTGACACCTCTCATTTCATGCTCACTTCTCTCCAGAAGGTTGGGATGGGCAGCTGGAGTGCGATCTTTCTAGACGTTGGTAGTAGGGTCCAGTTTTGCACATTGACTTCCTAAGGTAGCTCATGGAGAGTTGAAGAGAAGACGGTAGGAGGAGAAAAGTGTAGAAGAGAGTCGTTCAAAAGAAACTCCGGCTTCTAGTCAAGGACAATGCTACCTTATCAGCTGCATTGTTAGTTTCCCTTACAGGTGAGAGGGTGGAGGGAGCTGAGCTTCAAACCAAACTGAGCAAAATGGAGGTAAAGGTTGGGGGGTGGGCGCACAGACAAAGGAAGGTGCTGGAGACAGCTAGAGAAACCCTTGCAGAGCATCGAATAAGCGTTCAGTGAATATTTTTTGCATGACATGAACTGAAACATAAATCTCATTGGTAAATTTCTTGGACTCCCTCTAGGAAAAATGGCCAGCATAATGTGCTCTGCTTGCTTTGGGAAAGGTGAGCAGTTCTTGGAGGTTGTCCTGTGGAATCTTAATGGAAGCAAAGTGAGAGACTTTGGTGAAGCAAGAATTCAAGAGGAAGAAGGGAAAAAGCAAAGGTATTTTTATATTTAGGTGAAACCGTCCCCTTCCCCTCCCGTAGAATTTGTACCTGCAACATAAGCATCAAAAGTAACCCATTGTCTTCTTAGTTCCAGCAACGAGCTGACGTGTCGAAACAAAGTTTTAAGAATAGCTCATGTGAAGGAAGAGGACTTATCGCTGACGTATGACTGCGTGGCCCTGAATTCGCATGGTGTCTTAAAGCACACCATAAGACTAAGTAGGAAAAAGCCAAGTAAGGAGTGTTTCTGAGACTTTGGTCATCTGAGTGTGCTGTAGAGCAACCGTCAGCTGAAATCATTTCCTTAGAGGACAGTGTGCTGAAGCACGGTTCTGGGAGATCCAGCAAGACCCTGGAAATAGCTTGGCTCACAAAATGTGCTTCTCCTCTTGAGGATACTGTTTGCAATCTGAGCTTCTAGGATGTCTCTGTTTGCTGAGAGTCTTCTCTCCCATTGTACTTCCTCCCCCTCTTCCTCTCCCTCCTTTTGTGTGAGTTTGTCTTGCAGCTCAACTGTGTCTTTGGTTATGCCTGTGTTCTGTATCTTTATGAGCATTCTCTGTTTCACTGTATGTGAATGAAAACATAGCTGCTATAAACTGGGAATATGTTCCTTTGTGCTCTTATATAACACGTTATAAACATACTTCCTTTTATAGCTTTTTTTGGTCATAATGAACACACATTTTGACAGTGAGGGTGGCAAAGGGAACAGAAAGGGAAGGTATGTAACAACCACCATTTCAGTAAGGGAATCGTAGATACTACTTTATAATAAAATATGCATTACCATTGTTAAACTTCATGAAGTATTAAATTTATGTGGAGCCCGAGCATGGTGGCTCACATCTGTAATCTAGCACATTGGGAGGCAGAGAGGAGAGTATTGCCTGAGCCCAGGGGTTTCAGATCAGCCTGGGCAAATTGGTGTGACCTTGTCTCTACAATAAATAAAAAATATTAGCTGGGCATGGTGGTGTGCACCTGTATCTCCCACTACTTGGAAGCAACAGAGTGAGACTCTGACTCTGAATAAATAAATAAATAAGGTGGAACTGGTGGGAAGTATGGTAGCCTAGTTCATTTCTTTACTTTCTCTGTTATAAATCACGCAATTCAGGTATCACCTTTCTTGGGAAGCTTTCCTGTTTGGAGTACATGTTGTAGGACCCTTTACAGAAAGACGAGACACCGAGGCTTCTTTGCCAGGAAGCACTGTTTATTGTGCCATCACTGGCCCAGCAGACTCACATCCAAAGGCTAAGCCCCGAATGCAGCAGGACATTGTCTTATATACTTTTTGCTAACTTCTTTTTACATTTTAACCCCTTTGTCTTACATTTTAGCCCCTTTGCTAACTTTGTTTTACATTTTAGCCCCGTTTTACATTTTAGCCCCTTTTTACATTTTAGCCCCTTATATGGCAACATGCATCTTGATTGGGTATTTTATGGCCAGGGTTGTACTAGGGTTATGCATGCACACTTTGACATTGATTTCGCCACATTACTTCCTCTTTATTCTGGGAAGGCCCTTATCACATATACACACCTCACATATACACACCCTCCACTTGCTCTCTGGCACACCGTATCTATCCTTCCACTCACCACATTACCTTACCAAAATCTCTTCAACAGTCTGCTGGGCATGACAGTAAGCTCCATGAGGACAGGGATGACTGTTACCCATCTTTGCACCCTTAGTTCAAGGTGCAGTGCCTAACACCTAGCAAGGGCTCAATAAATCCTTGTGGAGTGAATACAGGAATGCACAACAAAGTTATCAAAAAAAAAATTTGTGTACATTACTAATTCTCTAGCTATGAGGTGTAATTATACAACAAAATGCTATTTCATATTTATGTTTGGTGAATTTAATAATTTACCGATTCACAGGAAAGCCAAATTGTTAATAGCTTTCCCATAGGTTTATCTGAATTTAGCATGCTTTTATTTTATCTTTTGAGTTGGAGTCTCACTCTGTCACCCAGGCTGGAGTGCAGTGGCACGCTCATGGCCGCAGCCCCCACCTACTGGGCTCAGGCAATCACCTCAGCCTTCCAAGTAGCTGGAACTACAGGCATGCCTCACCATGCCTGGCTCATTTTCCGATTTATTGTAGAGATGAGGTCTCACCAAGTTGCCCAGGCTGGTCTCGAACCCCTGGGCTCAGGCAATCCTCTCACCTCGGCCTCCAACGTGCTGGGATTATAGGCCTGAACCACCATTCCTGGTCTTGAATTTAGCATGCTTTTAAAGACATCAGTCTAATTTGACACAATACAATGACAATGAGAGTTACCAATCTTTAATGGAGTAATTACAGACACTACATAAAATCTTTCAAAATGTATCATTCTCTTTGTAAATAATCAGCGACATCACAAACAACCAGAGCAGGGTGGAGAGAGGATATGCTGCCTATAGAGGTCTCAGAATAGTCATAGAGCTGTCTGCAAGTCTGTGTTTCTTATTATCACCATCCCTGGAAAATGGAAAACAAAGTCTGTGGTGAAAGGTCCCTCCAGTGGCAGAGGCAAACTGGTTCTTTCCCCTGCTCCCTTGGTGTCGTTGAATACCATGTTGTCCCAGAAAATAGATTTAGGAGAATTTTGCTCCTGAGTCCTTGTCCATTTCCTGGCTTGTTCTTTGCATTTCCACATCTTCTTTGTTATATAAAGCCTTTGACCCCGAATAAAAGGAGGGCTGGGGAAATACGATATTTTTTACACTTGTCATTCCTTGGTGGTTCTTCAACACACAGAAACTATTTAACGTGCTTGTGAAATGTATGACCCACATTCATTTGGATAAACACACAGAGGAGCAGCAAGATGAGAAGGATTGGGGGTGTGGGAAAGCAGGTCACCAAGACGAATGGTCGTGGCGGATCTCTGCCTGAGGTGGTGTGGTTTTTCTTGTTTCAATTTTGACTTTAACCTTGATCGGTACGTTTTTAAAACAACCAGAATCATGAATCATGTCAACTGCTTTTTTATTTTACGTTCCGGGGGCACGAGTGCATGTTTGTTCCACATTGCTTGCCAGTGGGTGTTGGGCTTCAGGGGTCCCTGTTATCCAAATCGTGAACAGCATATTCGATAAATAGCTTCTGGACCTTTGCTTCCCTCCCTTTTCTCTCCTTTTTGTGTCCCCAGTGTGTGATTATTTCCATCTTTGGGTCCGCCATGTGGATGATTTTAAGTGCTGTCCTATTCTGTAGGCCGTCAAGTGTCTGCCAGTCACCCCATGATAGCTGTGGACCATGTCAAGACATTGAGGCAGTGATGGGCACAGTGGACCCCAGGGCTGTTCATCTCACCTCCCCATCCCCAATGCCTTTGCATCCTTATCCCCAGGCTTTTCTTCCACAGTGACTGGTGAATGTTCTCTAGTTATATTCTGTTTTTGTTTAGATTAAACAAAAATTGTTGCTACTGCTGTAAAGTAGTAAAATAAATAAAATAAATTCCTTTGTTTCTGAAATTACAGCCTTTCCTGCTTTCAAGAAAACACAAAATTTCAAAGTCTATATTCCCATATTAAACATTTTCAAATAAATATTTGGTGCTCATAACACAAAGAGTACACATTTATTCACTGTTTCCTGTGTACCAACCCTGTCTAATTAATTTGCATTTAAGTTTCTCATTAATTTTCTCAATACTCCACAAGGGAGAGGCTGTTACTCTCATCTAGTTTTAAAAGGAAATGGAGACAAGAAATTGAATAACTTGCTAAATACCATAAGTATCAAGCCAAGATTTGAATGCAGGCAGCATTTTTCTCTTTATAAGCACTTATAAAAAATTTTCAGTGTTTAGTTATCACATACAGGAATTATCTATACATTTGTAAGGTCATATTTAGGAAAATCCTGAACTTCAACTTCCTTTAAGGTCTTGGATCAACTTCTTTCCTCCGGTTGAAACAGGCCAGCCACCAGCACACTCCATCACAGCAGTCCCATGAGAAGTGTCCATTCCCATGGTGTATCCAGACAGGATGTATAAACCGAGTGAACTGAAAAGGAATCCTGTTAAATGACTTACTTACAGAGCTGTATCACTTAACCTGATGACAGCAAGCTCTTTGCCAAGTTTCAGGATTTTCCCCCAGCTTTGAATCACATCACCTCGATAGTTCCTGATTTCGTAATGTTGGACACTCAAAGAGCTGACGAAAGTGGTGGAGGGATTTGTGATTATGGACCAGTGATTTTCAGTGTCAAAACTGGGAGCCCATACGTTGAGATTTAAGATGCAAATGAAAAAGGACCATATAACCAAATCTCATTGGAGATTCATCTCACGTTCGTCTTTAAGTGGGGCTATTCCCAAGATAAGATAGATAACCAATTCTGAAGATGGAAGCAAACTCAGAGCAGTCTGAGTTGCCAACATGACCACAGTGCCACGCTCAATTTGTACATAATCTGCCACAAATCCTTGAAGATAGAAACCATGTTACATAGGCATTTTGTGAAGCAGGGAATCCCAGGACAGAGTTCAGGAATGACTGAATAAAGTTCATCCTAAGAGAAGGATGGGATGTAACTGTGACCTAGACCTTAGTAATTTGACTTTTTAAAAATCAGATAGACTTTAGCCCACCTACATGGCTCTTGTGTCTCCCTTGCTTTCCTATCCCACCGACTCCTCAGATGCAACAAGTCTCAGACCTCTTGATTCTTTCTTCTGAAGTCTCCCACACCCGTTTGTCCATCCTGTCTCATCATTACGTGAGTCGAATCCTACCACAAACTCCAAGTATTGTATCTCCCATTCTTCTCTGAGTGCCTGCAGTCTCTGTCCACAGAAACAAGCCTTACACTACCATCAGATGAACCTTGTGTAGAAATTATTTTCATGGCTAACACCCCACTCAGTGCTCCTCCATGGCTCCTGCCACCCTCAAAATAAGGCAACATGCCTCAGCTGGGTGGTCTAGTCTGGTGAGAACCTAGCCCTGACTTACCTTTCTAATGGTGTCTTCCACTAATTCCCCAAACTGAGTTACTTCAGTTGCTCAGAAAACACACTCTCATCTTTGCACTCTGGCTCCCAATATCCCCTCTGGTCAGAAAGGCATTTCCACTTCTGTGTCTCTCTGAATTCTAACCAGCAGGAAGTCTTCCTTGTCCCGTTCAGCATGCAGCCACCTCTCCTTCCAAAAACCTCTGCTAGTTAAAATCATTCTTTTACCTCCTGTCTTAGTTAAGTTTGCATATGTCTCTAGGTCTCTTTTGC